GGCTTTATTCAGCCACTGCATTTTCCAAATCAGTTCCATAATCTGGCATGTAGCATATAAATCCCATTTACTAGCCTATAGCCTATAAACCTCCTTAACATATATATTTCAGTCTCTCTTAACATATTTGCCATACACCGTATAGAAACCCCTCTTACATGTACAACATAAACCTCCATTAACATATGTAAGTCTCTTTCTACATATAATAATTCACCGTAACAGCCCCCTTACCACACTGTCCCATAGGCTCCAGAGCCAACGGGCTTGAGTGAGGTGTATCGGTCAGGAACGTCCCATGTAGTTTTCTGGATTTCCAGTCTGTGGAATCGCGCTTTTAGAGGTGAAGCCATTACTACGTCCACCTTACTCTGCGTGTCCACTTCCGTCAAAGCGCACTGCTCGACCACTCGGATTGTTCACAGTGACCCAGGTGAGAGCCAGTCAGTCTCGCGAGGACACGCCCACCTCCACGCACCTTCACCGTCACGTGATTAAGGTGAGGGTCCTTGTTCTCTGCTCATCCAAAACAACAACAATTATGATTTTTAACAGTTGCTATTTGTCTTTTGCGCTGAGTAGTGCACACCTGACTTCCGTCTGTCCTTGCTCCTCAACAAAAACAATACGTTTTGTTGAACTTCCAGCAAGTTGAGGATTTTATTGACTACTACCATAAAAATTAAATAAACAAAATATCAGGAAGAATCTGAAAGCTCTTTGAGAGAGATCTATTTCATTATTTTTTGTAACTGTAGTAACCATTATGTTTGGTAAAAACAATGATATCAAATATTAAATAAATATATTAGAAATAAAGATATTAATAATATATAGACCTAATATTTTCTGCATTTTCTGATATAATCTTATTTGTGGAGGTTTTAAAACAATGTATAAAAGAATACATTTATAATATATAAAAACATAGGTGAGTTGTTACACTTTTTACTTCAGTCCATATTTCTTAGGGTTAGTTAATGTTACAAGTGCAGTGGGGAATGTTGTCACTCTATATGTGGTAAGCTGTCAGAAAGCAACCTCCCATTAAACATCTGTTATAGACAAAATGCATATAGTTTTATGCAAATATACACTACCATTCAAAGGTTAGAGGTCAGAATTTTCTTTTTTTTTTAAGGAATTAATAAAGAAATTAATATTTAATTCAGCAAGGATGCATTAAATTGATGGAAAATGACGGTAAAGACTTTTACGTTGTTACAAAAAGCATCTATTTCAAATAAATGATGTTCTGAACTTTCTGTGCATCATCCTGAATTCTACAAAAATATTTCAAGGTTTTTATTTTTAACTAAAATGATAATAGCATTGATAATAATAAATGTGTCTTCATCTGAAAATCAGCATATGAGAATGATTTCTGAAGGATCCTGTGACACTAACGACTGAAGTAATGATGCTGAAAATTCAGCTTTGCATCATATGAATAAATTACATTTTAAAACATATTTAAATAGAAAACAGATATTATAGATGTTAATAATATTTTAAATTATTACAGTTTTTACTGTATTTTTATTGCAGTCTCAAACAAAACTGAATATCGATTTGATGACACTAACCTCGCAAACTTTGATCTTCAAAAACGATTATCTTCAACAGTGCATGCTGTATTACCTCAGTAAACTCAACTTTGTTTCCAGAGAGACTGATAAAAAATGCTTTTACTCTCTGACAACAATCAGATTAGAGCTTATAACATCAAAAAGTGTTTTCCAGTTTTGTGTGCATTGTTATGGATCAGACAGTTAGTCCATGGACTGTGGGTGGACTGTGTGACATTTGTGGCTGAGTAATGTATGACATCCAGCATAACCATAGAGCAAAGTGTGAGCAAATGAGCAGAAGAAAAGACATGAAGAGATGACACTGATTGCTGTCATAGTTTGCCATGATGATTCTTAGAATCATCCAGATAATTCCCACATAGGCCTACGCTGACATTGCTGCAGAAAAATATGCCTCATTGTTATTTGTCAGAGGGTCATGAGGCTCTGGGAAATGTTAGTATGAGCTGCATGTACAAACAAAAAAATTTAATGGGGGAATTAAATGGATAGTTCACCCAAAAAATGAAAATTATATTGTCATTTACATGCCTATATGTCATTCCAAACCTGCAAAACAGAAAAGAAGACATTGGACCTGAATGACTTTCATTGCATATGGACAATAAATAAATAAAAACATACACATTTGACAAGATCTAATGTTTGTCAGATAGCATTTGTCAAGTAAGGATTGGTCAGAAAGGTTTTTAAGGCGGGATTTCAGGGTCAATTCAGAGGTGGTTCAGTTACATGTGTTTTCCACATACAGGTGTTACATCAAATAGAGGCAGTGTTTGCAGATTCCACTTCTTTTGGCTTTGGTGTGTAAGAAAACACTGGATTGCAGAGGAATAAATAGACACTCTCACAGAAGGTCAGAGGTCAGCCAGTTCCTCAAGGCCGAGAACTTTCAACACGTTCAAACACCAAAAACACAAAAAACAAAACATATTTTTGTAGTAGCTGGAAAATTTTTCTATTTATCCTAATGTGTTTTAAATGTATTATTTAAAATTTTATGTATTTACTGAATGTGTATATATATATATATATATATATAGTCTGATATTTCTGTGGCAATTTTTTCAGTTTTTACCTTTTTTGTGTTTTTACACAATACTTTTTATTTTTATTTTTACACAATACTTTTTTTGTGTTTTTATTTACAATACACTGTAGGTTTCATTATCATAACTTACATATGCCGTAAATTATTATAACGATATAATGTAGTGTAATGTAACTACAAGGTGTAGTCAACATCTGTGGCAAATTTCCCCATTAATGTAAAATGTCTTTTTTCCTAGCCAAACTTGAGGAAAATGTAAACTTAATGTAGGTTTATAACATTTACATTTTAACTTCAAATCTAAAATCAGAGTTTTAGACTTTAATTTTTCTACTTAATTTCAAGTACCTACCCTAAATGTTCACTGGAGTAAAAAGAGGCAACTATCCAAGTCTTCCCTATGTAGTCTACCTAGACGAAGAAATAGTGAATGTTGAAGAAATTGAATATTTTGACAACAGCGGCCTCTTCGGGTTGTAGGCAACATTACAAGTCTTAGGTGAAATTAATCCTTTTTTATCTTTAGGCGTTTTGACAGTGCTTTTGACCGTTTAATTTAGCTCAGTTCATTTTTTTAGCTTAATTAAATGCCATCTTAAGGAGGTTTGTAACGAGTATATTGGTGTGTGTGTGTGTGTGTGTGTACCTGGTATTTATCACGTTATGGGGACCAAATGTCAAAAGTAAATTTTGACCTTGTGGGGACATTTTTGAGGTCCCCATGAGGAAACAAGCTTATAAATCATACAGAATGAGTTTTTTTGAGAAAGTAAAAATGCACAAAGTTTCCTGTAAGGGGTAGGTTTAGGGGTAGGGTTGGTGTAGGGCAATAGCACATACAGTTTGTACAGTATAAAAACCATTACGCCTATGGAATGTCCCCATAAAACATGGAAACACAACATGTGTGTGTGTGTGTGTGTGTGTGTGTGTGTGTGTGTGTGTGTGTGTGTGTGTGTGTGTGTGTGTGAAAAGCAATCTTGGCTTGGCTTTAGGTCTCTTTGTCACCTTTTATAATGTACTCAGAAAGTGTCCATGACTGCAACACACATATTCAAAATATACTCCATTACACTGTGATTTTCAAAGCAATGAAACCGTTCTGATATGGTCAAATAAACATGATGTGTTTGTGGAAAAGAGTAAGGCCTTGATGTCGGTTTACTTTGAAGGTGTGGAAGAGACTGCCCATGGGGCATACGTAGGGGTGACAGGAGATTGATTGTATTTTTATGATGCCCACTGTGAGGTGAAGAGGGATTGGTCACATGACAGTGATGCTGGATGAGAGGTGTGGCGCGATTGGGTGTGTTTTCATGAATGTGTTTGTGTGTTCTTTCTTTGGCACACTGTGAACTCCCACCGCACAGACACACCCACTCAAACAAACACCTACTCAACACACCCACCATCTGTGTGACCATGAGCATATACTCTCTCTCTCTCTCTCTCTGTCTGTCGCACACATAGAAATACTGCCAAAGGTAGAATGTTTGAAACGATAAATCAGGATAAAAATTACAAAATTTCCTACACTATTTTGCATTTCCTCTCAATTTCACGCCTTGTTTGGATTGATAGTTAGCCCCAACGTGACCTTTGACCCTGTCACCCTCTCTATAAAGCTGAAACTGAATGAGGCTTCCATTTCACATTGTGTTACGATCTAAATTGGCAATGCTTTATGGTTTAAGTGAATGTGAAATAAACAAGAACATCCATTTCACATTGTGTTACGATCTAAATTGGCAATGCTTTATGGTCTAAGTGAATGTGAAATAAACAAGAACATTAGATAGATAGACAGACAGACAGACAGATATTTACAAAAACACAGTGATTTATTTATTTATTATTTAGAATTTATTTACAGTCCTTGTTTATTTGTTTATTTATTATTAATTTTTCAAAGGTCTTTCAAAAGAAGATCATGGGCATCTGTGTTTAGGGTTTAAGGTTTTTTTGTTTGTTTTTTAAACTCTCTTCACAGAACCAAAATTCACTGAATTAAGACATACAAACAAACCACTAAACAAACAAACAGACAAATGCAGGCTACACTGTTTTAACAAACAAAAGTCACAAAAGAATGTTTTCTTTTGACAAATAAATAGTTTACATTTTTCTTATTATGACAAACAGAAACGTTTTTGTTTAGATGTTATGCTAACAAACAAATGTTTGTTTTTAACGAACAATCCGCAGATAGGGAATCTTTGAACGCGTTTAGATGAATAAACATGTCTGTTTTTGTCTCTTGTGTATGGACTAGGCGATGTCTGAAGCCCAGCCCTTTTCCATCAGCGGCCGCCGGGTCGCACTCGCGGACAATAACGCTACTGCGAACCGACGCTCACCTCCCGTTACTCCTCACCAAATACACACAGAGCCGCGGATGATAGACAAGAGACGGGCTTCCCGGAGTCTGCGCGGCTAAAAATACACAGGCACCCATTTCACTTACTAGTCTTTAGGAAATAATTTTTTGCGTGGAGACAGACAGCGAGGGACTAACACACGTGTGTGCACCGGCGGGCAGCAGCGCTCCCGGTGAAGTTTATAGACTGAGAGTCTCCTCTCTCCTGCGGATTAATCGGATTCAAAATCACTGCGAGTCTGTGGAAGGCGAAGCGTCGCGGTTTTGTTCCAAAGAAGTGCAGGTTTAAATGCAGGTAAGGAAATAACAACAACTCTTGATTTAAAAACTGCTTTGGGTTTTATACTTTATGTTGTTGCGTGCTAGGTTTAACCTGTTATTTATTGTGAACGCCGGAGTTAGCAGTAACGTTAGTGCACATAACTTCTGTGGAAGCTATTGTTGCTGATGTATTAACCCAATGAAATGGCACAGATTAAACAAAAGTTGCCAACACCGTTAAAACCCAAATGTCTAACGTGTGTTTTGCAGTATAATTGTGGATTTCACTTAAATGCTCACATTTGTGTGTATTCTAGATATGATTATGATTAAGAACAACTCTGTCAAAATTAGCAAGAATTATCAGTAACTGTTAGTTGTGTCATTACTCTGTATTGTCACGTTGATGTATAGTTGTTTTATTTAGCTCATTCAGTCTCTGAAGTTGCAGCTGGAAGGCGATTGTTTGGACTGTCATTTGAATTCTATTTTTTATGTTTATACTGGTATATAGGCTATCGTATTACATTAAATTTGTAATTCAGTGTTTCAGGTTAAACATGAAACTGGCTAGATAACCATGATAAACTTGCTGTCATGATCAGCTGCACTTAAAGTGCACATTTTTTGGTAGATTAAAATGTTTTACACACACTCAAACATACAAAAGTAATAATAATTATAATATTAAAAAGAAAGGCACTTATTAAAAACATTTTTTATGAATATAAGGATGTTTAATTTTACATGGTGCAGGCCACCCATTCATTCAATAGGTGCCTCTGACTGCTGACTTCACCTGACCAGCCATGCATAATACTACTATTACTAATATGTTTACTTTATACAGAGCTTTTGGCTAGTACTTTACAAATCCTCTAAGTGACAGTGACTAAGTAAGTGTTTCAATGTAAAGCGGCAGCAGCTAGTAAATCTTAATACATCCAGGCCAGTTGGTGACAGTAAACAAAAAGTTACTGAGTGCACTTTTAACAGTAATTCTCTGATACATAAACTCCCTGTGCTTAACTGGATTAGTTGTCAAAAAGTGCTTTTATGTGCACTTTACAGGGGTCATGACATGGATTTTTTTATTATTATTTTAATATGTTCTTTGAGGTTTACTTATAAAGTTAATAAAGTTTTTTTGCACAAAAAAATAAATAAATAAATATGTGGAAAAATTATTATTTTAGCCCTCATTCTGAACCTCTCTCTAAAATGACTGTTTTTAAGGGGTGTGTCTTTTAAGACTTCTCAGTAATCGGCCACTGTTATTATGATTGGCTAACGTCATTGCATAGGAAATGGTATCAACGCCCCCTCGCTATTGCATGTGTGTTTTGACAACATAATCAAAATAAAACGGTCATTTCCAGACAAAGCATTATTAAATCATTTACTTACAGTTTGTGATGCAGTTGCAGGCAGATATAGTACAGCTTCATCTTTCAACAAATGTTTCTTTGTGAACTCTCCATGACACTGTGCCTCGATTACAAAACAACATACCCCGATCAATCCTCTCACACGATCCGGGGTGCCATTAAAAATAAACTATCCACTTGTTCCTTACGCTGGGATCCTTCTGATATCTGTACAAAGACACGAGCGAGCTGTTTGAAGTATAGACAAGATGTATCCTGTATCCAGTGTAGACAAGATAGCGGCAGTAATTGTAATATATATTTGCTTTTTGCCAATATGCCAAATATCAAGGCAAATTTGATGTCTCATGTCATGACCCCTTTAAATGTTCGATTTCAGTTGGATTAAAGTAAAAATCCGTCTTTTTAAAATGTCATTGTGAATGTTTTGTTCTCACTGAAATCAGACCAGTCTGGTTTTCGTTAAGTCAGACTAACAGACCTAGATATTGCAGTTCTAGCTCGGCTTCATCCAGCATGTATCCAGCAGGATGAAAACTGTAGCTTAAATGCACAAAAACCTGCTATAGCTTGGTTAAGTGGTGATCAGAGAAGAAGGTATGAGCTACAAGGGTTGTTAATGAGCGTGTATTTTAGGAGGTCATGAATCTGCCTCCCAGCATCTGTTGCCTTATGGTGCATTCTTCGGCTGTGTGTACTGTATGTTTCGTTGTGGCAGGAGATCTTTAGATGCCTTTTAACCATAATGCACTGAAGTTGACATTTTAGTGATCTGTTACATCTGCACTGTTTCATGCTTTAGCCAAGAAACACAAAGAAGCCTCATATTTATTGTGGAGTGTTGTGATATCATAATATTCTCATATTGGAATGAGTTTAGATTATGCAGGGGAATTTTAAATAAGAGTCACCAGAGAACAAGATTTACTCTAATTCTAGCCGTACATGTTGCGTCTATTTGTTTACCACAATTGATCAATTTGATGAGGTTGGGTCTGACTGAAATTAGTCTGGTTTTTGTGCAGTCAGACTAACAGATATACACTGTAAGTTTTTTTTTGTTTGTTTTGCCAAAAATTCACAATAACAAATATGGTGGCAAAGTTTCAGGTTTTACTGGGTAGCATATTGATGGCTGTATATTTTACAACTTACAACTATATATTTCATCAAGTGATATAATGCTAATTTACCAACCTACTTGAAGTAGCCTACCTTAAAATGTACTGATAACCACCAAAATCATACAGGAGATCAAATAGAAACCACATGATTAAACCGGTCTGATGAAAGTGGTCTGTCCAAAAAATGACCAATACTTGTATATAGACAGTTCACAGGGTAATACAAAGGAAAAAGACCATCATGGTTTTTTGTAAAAATTGCAAACAGCTTGGCTGTAAACTGTAGCTTGGTTGTATCTTGATTTGTAGCTTTAGAAAACACATTGTAGCATGATTATAACTGTGCATGTACATATTTAATGTGTGGCTGATGGCATCACCCCTCCCCCCATTAGGAAAAAAAATGTGATGAGGAAGTTCAAATACTCCCACACTCTCACATCCAGCAAATGTTATTTTCTTGCCAGATCTCACAGAAGGATACGTTGTGGGAAAGACCATGATGGACTTTCATCAGACTGTCTATTGCACTTTCCATACTCTGTAAAGGCTTTCTATCTTCTTCCGTATTTGGCCAACAAAGTAAACTTAAGTGCAGATTTTTTTCAGGTCAAAATAATGAAACGCAGCGTATTATTCAATAATATCTCATAAATTTGACCCATCCCTTATTTGGTTTCTCCATATCTACCCATGGAGGAACACGTCAAGGTTCAGTTTACCTCACATGTGCATTTGCACTGTTTTATCTTCTTCATTATCTGCACAAAGATGTGAATGTCAAGCCAAAAATGTTGCGGTCTAAGTCAAAAAGGCTTCTCTTGTTTCCATCACTGGCTTTCTTGTATTAGCAGAAACCTTGCTCAAAGATGGCCATCTGCTCGCCGCTTTGTAGTTTCCTTCAGCACAATATCAGATTAACCCCTCACCTCATGTTCTATGGGAGTATGGTGTGGAGCAGAGCGGGACGGTTGTAGCGTGAAACCATGGGTCTGGAGGGTGTTGGCCAGGGTTAACAGGTGGTAGCAGACATGGATCCTGAAGGACTGGCCCTCTCATTTAAATGCATAGCCTTAAATACTAGTCTAGGTGTTCTTGGTATGTAACTTAAACTCGTGTTTTGTGATATTGATTATGTCAGTTTTGTTCTAGCGATTTGATCAGCACTGTGTCATCAACTTATATGCGTCACTGAGCGAAATATTTTATGTAGTGCATTCTAGTTTTTGGTCTGTTGCTTCAGCTTTGTTAATGCTCCGTTAAATAGTGTTCAGAGAGGAAGGTGTGAGGTACAATTTTTTAATGAGTGTGTATTTTAGGAGGTCGTGAATCTGCCTCTCAGCATCTGTTGCTTTGTGGCAGAAGCGCTTCAGTTGACTTTGTTTTAACCATAAGGCACTGAACTTGACATTTTAGTGATCTTGTACATCTGCACCATTTTATGATACATCCAAGAACCACAAAGCAACCTCATAGTTATTGTACAGTGTTGTGAAATCATAATATTTTCACCTTAAAATGAGTTTAGATTATGCAGGGTTATCTTAAGTCCCCCCCAGATATGTGGATTTATTCTACTTCAGTTCGTACATGTTAATGGTTGCGTCGATTTGTTTGCGAAAGTCGTTCGGTTTGAACTAGATGACGTCAGGCTTTTCTTTACACGCACAGACTTGTGTTTCTATACAAATACCACGGATCATGAAACCTTGACATATTAGGGAATTAAAAATTGTGGTTTCCAGGCCAGGACAAGCCATAGAAATGAATGAATTCTTATAAAGGCATGTGAAAGAGTGAACATGAATTTTGCAAGTTATGTTCAGCTCTAAAATATTTTAAGCAATCCCTACAACATGATTAAAAAATAACTGGGAAGTTATGGAAAGTCATTGGTTAAAGCGTGTGTAAAACCTGAAATAAACAGGCATTATCCTTTTCTGATATTCTGTTTTATTTCCTTACATTTTTAAAGTTTTTGGTCCATAGCGTTTCTGTCATTGTTTTTCTTAACCTGAGTTATGATTTCCAAGCCCACACATAGAAGGTTACACACCCCAGAACTGGAAAATGGAAAGTAGATAAATAATATTTAGCGTTTACAAGGATGTGTGGGAATGTGGAAAGAGCCTTGAGGAACAAAATGAAAGAACATGATAAATCTTTCTAGATTCTAATGTCATGCCAGTGCTGCCATGGCAAGGTCAGTTTCCTCAAAGCTGTGGGTCATACCGCGAGTAATCTGAGGATGGGTTAGAAGATCAGATGCTCACTAATAAGTCTGGCAAACAGATGAAAGCTTTAAAAGAGTTTTTAAATTGACTTGCTCTTTTTATTGTTGTAGTTCAGGTCAGCATGACCCACCAGAACAGAGCAGCTCTTAAAACCTTTAAAAGTGTATTATGACCACCATTATTATTTTAAAAGCGAAGCTGCTATATGGCTTAGTGTGATAATCAAATTGCAAAGAATGTGATTTAATTAAATATAGGTGCCGCGTGTTTCAGAGTGAAGCATGGCAC